CCTTGCTTTGCTCATAGAAATAAAGCTGTGCCTTTCTTCATCACACACACACAAAAATGGATGTAATCTAGATGACTTGGACACACTGACAAATCACATTAATAAAATGATGGTATTTTTCCTTTTTTATTAGTGCTCTGTGTGACCTTTAACATTTGGTGTTCTATGTGACCTTTAGAAGTTCACAAAGACAGAATAACAGAAGACTGATTGCCTTTTTACTTGGTATCAGATCAATTGGTTAATGGTCTCCACTGTAAAAATGTCCACAATACAACAGGCAACAGAAAGAGCTGTTTCAGTGAGAGCTGGAGCTGCACTTTGATAGTTCCCCACCTCACCTCCATCCTAGGCTCAGACACACCGGTTTTATATCATTTTGTAAGACTCACTGGCCAGTTAGGAGAGGAGCCAAGACATGACACTGCCCTGGTTCATCTGAGGGCTTGTCTGGAATTTGAATCTCAGATAAGCGCAGTCACTCTGCAGCTACCCTAGGAAGCCTAGTGTCAGGCTGGCTGTATCCCAAGGGTCTCTATGAGGCTGAGTTAACCCAGAAGAAGATAAAGTCTCAAAAATTCTGTGAATACTTGTGAATTAAAACCCAAATGACCTATAGTTCAGGTGTACAAAAAGTCTAGACCTACACTATGCCTGCTGGGTTTGGTCCCAAAGAAGATGGCCCTATCTGGCATCTTCTAAGCCAGACCTATAAAACCAAGGGAGCCTAGGAACTTAACTCCAGGCCCTAAACAAATCAGAGAGGAAATCATGTTCAAGGTCAAATGGCATAGATATGGCCAGAGAGAGCATAAGGAAGTCAATACCAACATCCCACACAGGAGCCTGTGAAGCCTCAGTCCCCATGTAGTCATCACTTCTCCCAAGAATAAATAAAAGACAGGCAAGGCTGACATTTGTCAAAAGGTACATATGTGCCTACCAAGCAGATTTTGTTTGTTTGATTGATTAATTGAATTTAAAGACTGTCTTTGTTGAATCATGATCTTCCTACTTAGCCTCGTGAGTACGTGGGACCACAGATGTGTGCCACCTTATCTGGTTCTTTCAGTCAGGTTCTTGCTATGTTCCTTAGGCCAAACAAGCTTAAAATCTTCCTGATTTAGCCTTCCTAGCCACTGGAATTATAGGCACACATCACAGGCCCTGCAGGTTGGACCAGGAATTAAAATGGGCCTCCCACACAGTCATGGCCTACTGAATACAGTATCTTAGCAGCTCACATCAGTGTGTCTGGGCTCATGGAAGATCTTGATCCAGGTTATTTTAGGACCTCACCTGGCTGTCTCCTTCCACTCAGCATCTTCTCCCTCTTTCATGCAGATTTCATCCAGTTCTGTGAACAGCTCATGAGGCACATGTTCTTCATCTTCCTCAGTGCCAAGAATGAACTGAACACGCTGAGATGGTGTATCTAAGAAATCAACCATAGAGAAAGGTTTGCGCCTAGCCTCCAACTTAGAACAGAACTAGCACTCTGCTTTACCTAATAACTTTAGGACTATATGAAGTGCTGAATGTAGAACAAAAGATTTCTTTTCAAAAGATAATCTATTCTGTGGGGGCATTTCTTGGGAGAAAAACATAAACTAAGGCCACTTGTGGAAAACCACAAGAAACTGGTTATCTGACTAATTTGATCAAAAGAAATGACCAGTTCTCTAGCAAAGGATTTCACTTATGGAATTAATTTGGGGGAACGTGAACTGTGAAATTTTCAGGAAGATAATTTTAATTCTCAGTGGCATTTCTTCTTGGAAGCAAGTTCTGAAAATCTTACAAAGAGCTAGGAAATCAAGACCACCTGCTTGTGTATCACATGTTCCCTCAGCCTCACCAAACCTCCTATCGCATGGGTATTACCATGGGCCAAGGCTTCTAGGCCTTCCTCCCCCTGGCTGGCTCCTTTGCCTCGCCCTCGTCTCCGGTGCTTCTGGCCATGGGTGCGGTGATGCCGATGGCTCTGCCGACCCAGTGGCATCCGAACTCCCACATACAGAGTCCTATGACCTGGAAAGAAGCAGAAGATTAGTGGACAGAACCCCTTTAGAAACAGAGCCTATTATGGATAAGAAAGAAAAGATCACAGTTCTTTGGCCTAGGCGCCAACTCTGGAATGACAAAATTTCAAACACTTCCAGTACTAAAAATGTAGAGCTCTTTGAGTTGAAGGTCTCTTCTTCCTTCTTGCATGTGGCTACAAACCTCATTAGGATGTTGTGAAGATCCAAAGAGATAATGTGCATGAATGTGATTTGCAAACTGTAAAGGTCAAAGCAGATATTAATTATTGTTATTACAATAACAATTGATTTTTAAAAAATAAAAGGCAATACATTTGCTCAATGACAACTGTGGCAAGTCTTGACAGGGAGGCAATTTAGAAAAGTTGTTAAGAACACAGTTGAAGGCTTGGTGGTGCCTGCCCTATGGCAAAAACTACTGGAGGCTGGAGGATTATAGCATCAAGTTCATCTCTCTCTCTCTCTCTCTGTCTACCTCAACACACACGATTTTTGAGGGACCAGCAGATGGCGTAATGATTACATCACTGGACTCACACATAGTTGACTGCAGATCTGGCAACTTAAAACTCATGCCGGGTGTGTGTGTACATGTGCCCAAAATCCCAACAGGTGATTGGAGGAAAAGGGATTGTATAGTGGCCATCACCCTAGGGGGTGATTTCTCACTTTCTGTCTCTCTGTCTTTCTGGAGAGCGCATGCGCCCTATAGCAAAAATCTCTCTCAAAAAAGAAAAGAAAAAGAAAAAAAAAAAAAAAAAAAAACAGCACAGTTGAGGCTCAAGTCAGCCTGCCTGGGTTCAAAATTCATTTCTATTGTTCACTAGATTCTATCATTTACTAGCTAATTGACTTTGAACATGTTATCTGATCTCTCAGTGATTTATCTTTTTTTTTTTTTAAGAGAGCTTTTTGCTATAGGGCGTGTGCGCTTGCCAGAAAGAAAGAGAGAGACAGAGAGACAGAAAGCGAGAAATCACCTCTCTTTGGGGGAGATGGCCATGTCACAATCCCTTCTTGACTCCATTCTCCCCTCGGCATTTTGGGCACACATACAAATGTACTTGGTGTGAGCCATTGGGTCTGGGACTTGAACTGCAGTCGGCCTTGTAGGAGTCCAGCAACGTAACCATTATGCCATCTGCTGGTCCCAGGTGATTCATCTTTTAAAAGAAATGCTAAAAGCTTATTACTTAAACTCATGGCATTTTCATAGGCAGTAAATAAGATAATCCACATGAAATGTTTAACATAATGCCTGGAATTCACTATAGCAGTCGATGCATTCTAGGATCAGCTTTCATTATTTTCTTTTTCCACAGTATAGAATATACAATCTAGAACAGAAGTGAGATATTATTTATAAATCAGAAGGAGCATAAGGCTGGGGCTAAAGAGAAGCACTAATATTGTACAAAGAAGGGAGAACATGAGAAAATAAGTGATCCAGAAACACCCCTATCCTGTTCTTCCTCTCCTACTCCCTCATTTCTTCTGTAAATATGCTTTTTGTTTGATCCTGACTTCCAGGCCTGCTTCACCTGCTGTCCTGCCAAGCCTGGAACCCAGAGTCAGTAGCTTAAGGGATGCTCCCACATTCCATGACAAAGCCTTGGCCTTCCCCATTTCTGCCCAGTTCTTCCACTACCCACTCTAGACCTCAGGCCCACTCCTCACATCTCCAACCATGGAAACTGTCCCAATCTCTGGCCAGTCTTCAAATCCACAACCTTATCCAGTCCAGTCCCTCCTTCTGAGCAAGTGAGCTTGTTTCCTGTTTCGCTGAGGAGAATTAAGCTCTCTTGTGTGGACTTCCTCCAGCTCAGTCTGGCTCACTCTCCTCCCCAGTTTCTTCTTGGCCATGCTACTGGGCATGACTCTTGATCCCATCACTCCCAACCCTCTGGAGTCCTCCTGCATCAGGGACCCTTGGTCTCTCCTTTCCATCTAGCACTTCCACACTTCTCACTTTTCTTTGTGGAAAAAACCCTTCCTAATGTCAAGTGCTACTCTCCAAGTTTCTGCCTTATCCTCTCTTCCTTTTCCATCAAACCACTTTCAAAACCAATCACCAACATAATTCCCTTTCCTCACCACCATCTTGTTCCATAGCCTCTGCCTGTGGCTTCTGATCCCATTCCCTATTGAAGCTGCCCTACTTAGGGACACCAGAAACCACTGTCTCACCAAATCTCATCTATGCATTAAAAAAAAAATAGAAAAAAATACATCATGGCTTTCCCACTATACGAGATGGCAGGTGAAAAAGCTGCAAAGCAAGATACTAAGGAGCAGAAACCTGAAGCCAAGAAGGCTGATGCCAGTGGCAAGGTTAAAAAGGGTGACCCCAAGGCTAAAAAGCCCAAGAAGGGGAAGCCCCATTGCAGCTGGAACCCAGTCTTAGTTTGGGGCATCAGCAGATACTCCAGATCTGCCATGTATTCCAGGAAGGCCTTGTACAAGAGGAAATACTCGGCCACTGAATCCAGGATTGAAAAGAAAAAGGAGAAGGTTCTTGCGACTCACAAAACCAGCTGGTGGAGACAAAAATGGTGGTACCCACGTGGTTAAACTGCACAAAATGCCTAGGTATTATCCTACTGAAGACGTGCCTCGAAAACTGTTGAGCCACAGCAAAAAAACCCTTCAGACAGCATGTGAGAAAGCTGCGAGTTAGCATCACTCTTGGGACCATTCTGATCATCCTCACTGGACACCACAGAGGCAAGAGAGTGGTTTTCCTGAAGCAGCTGAGCAGTGGCTTGCTACTTGTAACTGGACTGCTAGTTTTCAACTGAGTTCCACTGAATAGAACACACCAGAAATTTGTCATTGCCACCTCCACGAAAATTGATATTAGCAAAGTAAAAATCCCAAAGCACCATACCAATGCTTACCTCAAGAAAAAGAAACTGCAGAAGCCCAGACACCAGGAAGGTGAGATCTTCGACACAGAGAAGGAGAAATACGAGACTTCAGAGCAGCCCAAGGTTGATTAGAAAGCTGTGGACTCGCAAATTTTACCAAAAATCAAAGCTGTTCCTCAGCTC